TTTTATTTTTTGTTTTTAAAAACATATTTTTTGTTACACCTAGCAGCCAGTAACAAATTGCTGTCGCTCTTAAATACATTAATAGCCTCTAAACATGGCAAACAAAGATTTAAGTAAACTAAAAGTTCATTTTTAATTAGTTTTAATGAAGCTTTATTCCTGTCGTCCCGCCACTTTGCGTTCATAACAGAGAATACTCTTTCTATAAATGCTGAAGTGGCCGGAACGGACAGCAAAAGTGAAACTACTTTGAACAGATTTGGGAAATCAGGTTGTACCGTAAATATGCCTTGCCATTTTTCTATGCAGTATTATTGATATAAAAATACTCTAAATTTCGAATAATCGCTTACAAAATTACGATGTTTACTTAAGGCCTTAAATAAAGTATTTTTGCGTACTTTATGTGCCTTGTAAAGTATAACGTACGCACAGTCGAAATAGAGAGTACAATACTTTATAATAAAGTACGGGTGGCAACCCTAGCTACAGCACACTGATGATATCAAATAAGATCGAAATTGCGATCTGCGTCTGGTATTAATTTTGACAAATTTCTGTCCAAGAACTTCAACTTCTTCTCAATAATTTTCAAATTGACAGGTAATGATAAACAAGGGGAAGATCAATAAGATCAAGACGATTTTGTTCGTGATTAGTTCAAACTTGTGTTCCCATACGGTTTCATTATTATTTATTTCTTTTCAATAAACTGTGGAACAGTATCGTGTCATTTGGAATATGTTGAGGGCGCGCGTTTAAGATTGATTACACGGAGGTCGGGGGTTGCTTCGACCCCCGGGGCTATCAGTGCATGCAAACGTGGTGCGGTGGTTCAATGATGACTGGCCCATTATGTGACTATCATAATTCGTTACGCAAAACAGCTGCACACTTATTATTGTCAGTGAATCCTAATATGTGTGACGCAAAAAGAACGAGTATGAAATCGAAAATACATTATATTCAATTCATTTCGTAAACATCTAAAACTAATCTGTTTAATTGTTAAAGAAATATACTACAAAATCGTTTAAATAATTGACAAAATAAGTTTACACCTATCGCAACGGGGAAGTAGCACGTTAATGATTAACTTAATATCTTCTAATTTTCATAACTATTTGTGGAGCTTTTTCACTGTGTCTATAAATATATTTTTCTAGCGCCTATTTAAACAATTAAAAAGGCTAAATTGTAACTTTTTATAATTGATATTCAAAATTTAAACCCTGAACTTTAAAATGGGATGAAGAGCCATTATATTACATGACCCATTTCGGAGATAGGTCTATTGCAAAATTTCACAATTTTTTGTATACAAGTTCAACTACTCGAAAATAACTAAATTTTTGGATTTAAAACTTCGCACACATTTTTAATACTGAAAAAGGAAAACATAAAACTAATATTTAAATCATTCGGGAACAATATTTATTTCTGGATTACGTTCTTTTCTGTACTTCGACAATGTGTTTACAGAATTTCATAAAACTAATTTTTCTATCCGTCGGGAACAATATTTTTTTTCTGGATAAGGGGTATCGCATTTTTAATATTAGTTAAGATTACCTTATTAATACCTAATATGTTTCTCTGAATAACATCAAAATAGTACTATCAAAGATTACTCTAAGTTAGATTACTTATTCAAGTTTAAGATGCAAGTTTTGTTGAAAGAAAAGTAAATAAAATCAGAAAACCGAAGCCCTTGTAATATTTGATGGAGGTGCTGAACATATTTTTATTTTATATTAATTTTATATATTTTAATTATTGCAATTCTGTTTGTAATATTTATTAGATAAATTTTCGACATCGATTAATGTTTGATAATTCTTATCAAAAAAAATTGTATAAATAATAATGAATGAAATGAAATTATGATTCGTTGTAAGTAATATATGTATGTATATAATTTTGTGTATTCAAAAATCGATAGTGCTTTAATGTGCAGTAGAATCGAATTGTGGACAATTGCAAGTGTTATTTTTAGGGGTTGAGAATACGTCCGCAAAATTACATCCCTGTTTCCCTTATTTAAGCCAGGTGAATGAACAAACGAATGTAGCTTCGCAGGTGTAGCAACTAACTTCCGCATTTGAACCATAATTGACACAATTACAGACAGTATTTTTTTCAATACAAACCATTTTGTGGGGTTAACACACACGTGAACTTCGTTATTAACACGTACACATAAATTAAGTACTTTTTACTTAGGTATATACCAGAAACAAAATATTTGAAGAACCGTCAATGGAAATAGGGCATATTAAAGCAAATGCGTGAGAAAATGCAAGCTGTGCTCCCAAACTATAACACGTTTTCATTTGTTTTCACACCTTGTCCTTCGAGATTTTTTTCAAACAATTGCAATCAATGTCCTTGCGTACTTAGCTTTAAATAGAAAATTTTAAAATTTGACATATACCCCATGAAGAAGTCCTGATGATCCACTTGTTACGTACCTATTTATCTACTGATAATAATTTNATATGTTTGGAGCACGGCATTGTACGGGTGCGAAACATGGACAGTGGGCGCAGCGGAAAAGAAAAAGGTTAGAAGCGTTCGAAATGTGGTGTTATAGGCGGATGATGAGGATAACTTAGATAGAAAAGTTTAAAAATGAAGAGGTATTAGAAAGAATAGAAGAAAAGGCGAGATAGATTGGTAGGACACCTTCTCAGGCATGAGGGTCTAGTCAGAAACATATTAGAGACAGAAACAGGAGTTAGGAGGGGTAGAGGTAGACCTAGATTAATTACTGTTCGCAAATAGTTAAGGATGTGGGTTGTTCTAGTTTTAGGTCAGGATAGGAAAGAGTGGAGGTACGTGTCCAACCAGTCTTAGGACTGACGACTTTACGATGATGATGATGAAGATAATATATCCACATTAGGATCAGATCATCAGTCTTAATAGTGCATACCAAAAAAGGATTGAGCCAGGGTATTTATATAAGGGTCAAATCAGTCTCGATAGAGTATACCCTAAAAGGGTGTTGCTGTTTAGTCCCTGATTAGGGCCATACATAATACGTATTAATAGATGATATTCAGCCAATTACGAATTTCCAGTCGGGTACAATTTTATAAAAAAAACAGACGCAAAATAAATTACAAAAATGTTTATTGCACGACAATGCACATTTCAACTCCTCAATGATTTCCTCAGGCTGTTTAAATTAATTTAAATAAGCTTCAAAGATAGAATTAAAAATAATTTTGATTTGCACAAATTATTTAATAGAGAATAACATACTAATTAAAATCACAAAATCATACACGTTGTAAAGAAAGGGTTGATTAAAAGTAAAGCTCGTCGTGAAATGTATATTAATCTGTACCTACCCTACTAAATTTCAAATAAACTGAAGTGGAAAATGGTTTGTAATGGAAAGCTAATTTTCCGGATCTTTCACTTTGCAAATAAATATAAATGATGTACGTATTATTTCTTCAGATTTCTTGCGTTAATTTATTAATTAAATATAAAAACTTATTGTCTGGAAAACTGCTTTCGTTTTCGTGAAAAATCATTTTCCTGTTCTGTGATATGTTTTCTTCTAAATTTATCGTATGGTCAAATTTTGTCTTGGTGTGTTTGTTACTAAAAATGAAATATTAGCTAATAAAATAGTTTTTCTTTGTCTCTAGTGTGACCTTTATTATCACGTCCTCAAGGATACCTACGGATATGATTGGAATAGCAGTGTGCTTTTGTCTAAAAGCTGAGTAATATATCGCGAGAGAGCTGACTCAATCTATTAAATTTACGTTGTTTAAAGACGTTTAATTCGAAATTTTTAAAATAAACTTTGGTTTATTTAGTGCAAGGGTTAATTTGGTGATTGGTGCAAGTATTAAATATAAATGTGATCTTATAACTCTCGTAAAAAGACAATTTGATAAAAGTGTGTGCTAGGGGTGATAAAAATCCTGGCCGACATCTTGTATTGCTGAGCAAAATAATGAATGGGGTAATGATTGGATTGCTTTTAAAGGTAAGATTTTCTGAATTTTACGATTTTACACTTGTTTTAAAAGTTTTTGTTAACGATTTAACAAAGTTCAATATTATTGATCGAAAATGTTAAAATAGCTGTACTTTTCTTATATATTTCAAAAATTTTCGCAAGAAAACGTTCTTACAATTTAGAAATTTTTAAAATAAGTGTATAATTACATAGTAATAGGGAAAATATAGTTTGATACAGGAATATGGGTAATTTATCTTTTAATTCTGTAATTGAAGTTAACTAAACTAACTAAAACCTTATTGCATTAATTGATTTTTTTACGATATTAAAACTATTAAATGAGTCATAAGTCTTCATTATCTCCCCGATCAAAATTTGTAGGCTGTATATGAATTTTTCCAGGTGAAAAACTACTTTATTAGACAGCAACTTCAACGTTTTACCACATGATCCAGGACCTTTTTAAGGAAATTGGCGAGACTTATAGCAGTAATAATTAAATTTCCAAAACAAAATCTTAAAAACTTATTTAATTTTAAAAAACATTACATTCATTACACAGCATTTATTAAAGTAAATATTTTTAAATGTTTTGGGCTGTTTAATAAATTTTACAATTATAATGATAGTGTTTTAAAAAAGTTAAAATAATTAGACTGATATTTTGAAGAATAAGATTTTGTTTTTGAAATTTCAATTAATTACTACTGCTACAATGATTTTGTACTTTATTTTTTGACTCAATAATTTCCTTATAAGGGTTCACAATCAAGGGATGAAACATTGGAGTTTTTGTTTAATAGAGTCGTTTTTTCATTCAAAAATGTTCACATAGTGGTAGTTAAAATAATAATTTTTATTTGAGACTCAAACTATCTACTGAAGATGTAATTTGACTGTCGAAACGGGTTTTAGGTTTTTAAACGTTTTAGGAGGAACTTTTGGGTATTTGTTTTTATTTTCTTCTGGTAGGGGAGGTCATAATTTAAAATCTGAAAAACTCTTAATCTATTTAAATATATAGATAATTAAATTCTGCTGATGTGTTTTAAAGTTAACAGAAAAAATTTCCTTTGTTTCAGAATCCATCAGTGTTGTTAATTAAACGTTATATTATCTTGGTGAAAAATTAGACAATAGTTAATCACACGCGGCAAAGAGAGGCGGCGGAATACAATAACACTTTAATAATATATTAATTCGTCGTCGTAATTTGTTTTCTCTTTCGCAATACGTTTGGTGTGGTTTTATATGTGTACCATACGAACAAAATGGTGCATTTTAACTTCAACGTGTGGTTTGGGCAACTGCCGATAAATTTCATTGTGAAGATAAGAAGGAAGAAAAACTGTGTCGATCGGGAATTTTTCCAAATGGGGGGCCCAGTAATGGAAAATGGATTTCGTTGATCATCAGAAGAAGAAATACATAAGTTGCCGGAGACAGGACAGAGGAAAGAGGAATGCAGATTCGCCTTGGAAGGATTGATGAGCAAGGGTGAGTTTTTATTTTATTTCCTAAGCATGCAAACTAACACAGATACTTTGCGGATTTTTGAAAATTTCAACGACATGTCTTTGAATTGAGAAAACATTTTATTAGCGTCGTCTTTCGCAAGTTATTTCACAATCGTCTGGTACTTTGTTGTTATTATATTTTAGGAAGGTTTGGTGTTTCCATATTTTTATTTGTTATCTCGATTTTACACAACATGTATGTGTATGATACAGTCAACATTAGATGAAGATTGTATTCATCTCAATGGATGAATGAATGCCTAACAGTGGTTGAAAGTTTTTCTAAAACAACTGCTTGAAAAAAACATCGTTTTGGCAGCCTTTGAAAATAGAAAAACTTTCAACCCCTGTTTTACTTTGACTCGTCCATTGATTTAGAGAAGATATTTTTAAATATCGTCAGAAAAAATTTATTAATTTATTAAGAACATCGAATAAATAAATCGGATACGTGTTTCGGCATTGCCCACACGTGTCCACTCAGTAAAATTGTATTAGTGGTAATTGGGGGTAAGTCTCCTATTTTATTTATCTATTATTTACCACAGTCTCCCTGTTTCTATTAAGAACATCGAAGATGTTTAGGTATTCACGCTAATTCAACGTTATCTTGAATATTTATATATGAATATAAGATAACAAAGGGCTTCTAGCTTTAAGGAAATGCGATGATTGATAGGATAGGTACGAGCACAGGTGGATATTTGTAGAAAGATTCAATTTTCTTACCCCTGACAATAACTTTTTTGGGTTCATCCCTTTGATTGTTACGACTTAGACCACTGAATCCTCCACTAGCGGTATTTCTGTCTGCTCGAACTAATTCGCTCAGGAAATTGATATATCCGATCGCCAACTTAAGGGTGTCCACTTTGGACAGTCTCTTTTCGTAAGGAAGCGTTGGTATATGGGCCCTAAGCCCTTCGAAAGCGTCGTTTATAGATTGCATCCTCTTCCTTTCTCTTAAATTAGCAGCTTGACGCTGTTGTATTTGCTGTTGTGGACACTTATTTCGACGTCGGTGACGATGTAATCTACTGAAAATACAAAAACAAAGTTAATGGGGGCTTACCCCGTCATTTTTTTTTTGAAAAAAATTGAACAGAAAAGGTTGTGGTGAATTGTTCTAGTGCGTTGTTTCTTCACAAAATTCTTTTTTAACAAACAAATTGGTGCATTAGTATATTTTTTTTCAAAAATAAGTAGCCCCCACCATTTTGGTAATAATTTCATATGATCTTTTTGTATAGCTACTATTTACAAAAACTTTAAGCACAACTGTAGAGCAATTCTGCATTATTTTTCCATTTCATAGTTTGCATAATTTGAAAAATTATAAAATTGGAACTAATTTCTTCTGCAAAAAAAAGGGATGACAGTAAAATTTACTCTCTTTTCATTAATATTTAGTTCTCTGTGTTAAAATCATTTTTGTGAAAAGTTTTCTTAGTCCTGTTGAGAATTTATAGATTGATGGCAATTGTTTTAAGATGGAAAAAGTATTAAGAATTAGTTTCTATTAATTAATGTTAGTGTGTTTGATATTAAAATTCATTTTCAATGAGTTTCCTTTTAATAATTAATGACAGAAGGCTTTACTTGTTGAAACTTCATAATCAATTAAAGGAAACGAAGGTAAAGTTTCAAAAATATGTATTAATTGTTCACAATTGTTTCACCATAACATTGGCTTCTTCAGATGAAGGTATTCTGATTAATTAAATTCACATAAATACTAAAAGTTTACAAATTCTATGGGGTGGGAACAACGAAAGTAAGAGATAAGGCCAGACATTAAGTTTTTGAAGACAAATTTAAATTTAAGAATGGACAACAATTTACATCAGTTTAGTAAAATATTTAATTTATTGTATCTATTAATATAAAGACTTTCAGGTAGGTTTAAGGTACATTTTGCAACAAG